ATATTATGTATTTATTTTTATTTTTCTTTGGTGTTAATTTTTTAAATATTTTTTTTTTAATCATAATTTTTCGTGTTTATATTTATTAATATTACAGTCATTTTGCTAATTATAGTTAAATAAAGTTTATATATATTTCTTAATATTTATTCTCATATATGTATTGCCCTCGACATGATGATGAATTACGAAATTATTATTATCTCATATTTTTTATATGTAAATATGTACATACGCGAATTGCAATTGAGCTACAAGGCCCACACTATAACAGGCAAATGTCAGCTTCTTGATGGTGATTAATACAGAGTGACCAACAAAAAAAAGCGATAAAATCGAAATATAAAGAACTTCAGCAAATATCAGCAAATTATAAAAGTAGCACAAACAAGTTAATTTTTATTGGTAGCACCCAAATTCGGTGGATATAATCATTAAAACTACACGCGTGCATACCTAAACACATATGCAAACATCATTAGTCAAAAAATATTATATTTAATATTGCTTTTGTATCAAATAAAAAAATTAATAATTATTGCATAACGCTAAGCCACTGTGCGTCACCACAAACACTATAAAAGTTTTTTAAACAATATAGAATAAATAATAAAATTGAATAATAATCAAAAATTCATAATTTCTTTCTTTTCCCCCGTTCAGTTCTTTCTCCTACAAAAAAACCTGTATCGAAGAAATAAGAAATAAAATATTAGAAATGCAACACGTGCAAACATTATGCATTTAAATTGACTTTAATAGCTTTTCGAATTTTGGAATTCAAATTTTATATATACAATATTTATGCAAAATTTTACTGGTTCTGGTTTTTTCAGTTCCATTTCATTGGCAAACATACCAATGAACACATAATTTCACTTTACGTAGGCGAATTCTTTTACCAAAGTTAAAAAAATATATACATAGGGTTATCAATTTCGGGGTTTCAAAAGTACAGTGCTATATTTTGACATCTCCAAAACATCTCAAAAAATGGTTTATTTTAGTTAAAGGTCAGGTTAAAACCTACTACAGAAATGATAATCGTCTAACTACTCAAGCAATTGGTAAAGTTTTAATTAAAATTAAAAAAAACTGGATCTTCCACAGATCTTGTAGGGTCTGTGCATGTCGTTTTGCTCGCTGTAGCTCATAGATCTCTACTTTAAGTAAAAGTGTTTCTGAAGACCCGAAAGTGCCTATTTCTGGATGTTCTCAAGAGCACATTATGGTGCATTTTACATTTGGCTTATACTGATGATCTTACAATGTCCAGTTCATATAAAAACTGGAGCCAACTGACCATTCACAACGCCATATAAACGTCGATTGGGAGCTTGAACAACAAACAGTGGAGGGAGGCTTTTTAAAGAAAATTTTATGACAAAATTTTCTGATGCCGTTCGCTGAAGCAAAACTGTCAGTTTTGGTGCTCGGAGAATCCGCAAAAAACTGAAGGGGGACCAAAAAAAACCTCCGGTATCGGGCGCTCTTTGGCACAACGGCAGATGACCCTTTAACTCTTGTGTGCCAAATATGTACCAAAAAGTGGTTGAAAATTACCTCAAACGGGTCGAGATTTGCAGATAAGTTCGTGAGGTGGTCACTTGAATGATGTCGTGCCTCACATGTCGTGACAATTTTTATAATAAAAAGGAATTTCCTAAAAAAAATGTTTTAAATACATTTTATTTACGTTAATTTTCGAGATCGCAAATTTGATAACCATTTATATATACATAAATATTTTTTTTTATTCAATTGTGCAAAAAAAATTGCTGCTTGAGCAGAAAGTAATTAAATTTATTACCATTTTTAATTGCAATTTAGAGAAATTAAAGCAAGAATTTTAAATAAATTCATAGTAATTAAGTTCTTTTAATTAGACTAATGCATTATTTATACAAAAAACGAATTTTAATTCAACCTTAATCTAAACAAATTTAAAATAAATCTTCATTTAAGTAAAAAAAAAATCAAGCGAGGCTGAAGCTGAGTTAATAAACTACAAAGTGACGCGCGGAACCTCGGGAAGTTTTTAAGGATAATGAAACGCTAGATGTAGAGCACGGCGAGCTTAATTTTTTGAAATACAAATACGAGTACTTCAGATATAGGGCATACAAAAATAATGTAAAAAATATATATATTACGTAAAAAATAAAAAAAAATTGCCTGTAAATAAATTAATTCGCTAAAATCATAATTAATAGTCTTCATAAATGATAGGTTCTTATCCCTGATAGCTGATAAAAAGCTTTACAACACCGTAAGGCGCTTGTCACATAATTAAAATTCCACATTTCATACAAGTTCTCTGAATGTTATTTTTTTTCTTATCTCTTTACATTGACATACCTCACGATACAAATTCAATTCGCAGCTGAAAATTGCGGAAATTATAAATAAATCATTTAGCAGCTGTAATTTAAAAATTTATGGCATGAATTTACAAAACAATGCCTGCTGAGTACCAGAAAAGATGAAATGAAAATTATCCTTGTACCGTCACTCAGCGGTTAAGTGCCCTTCCTTGGCGACCTTGAGGTTAAGTGAATGAATGATACTACAGCATTCCGGGTGGTTCGAACTGAAATGCTCTTGCAATAAATTGAATTTCTGTAAAAACAGGCATTTGAGTGTGCATACACATATGTATATACATTACATATACTCGTATGTATGTATGTGATGAAGAATAAAAAAAGAAGAGGCTTTAATAAAATAAGCAAACATTTAAATATGCTTAAATGCATGCTACAGAAATAAAACGGAAGGTAAGAAGATAAAAAGGAAAAAAGAAAAAAAGAAAAAAACAAAAAACTTAAAACTTGATTATAAGGAATTACAATAAATTACGTATACGTCATTATGTGCGTATACGCAGTACGCAGTACGCACTACTCATAGCGTTAGCCCTGAGCTCTGGGCGGCGTACACACTACTCACTGATGATGAGCGCTGAGGCCATTGGCCAAACGGCGACGCGTGTTCTTTATGTGACAAGTAAGTGTAGGAATGAGCTTTAGTTGCACATAAAGGTGTGCTTGCTGTTGTTGTTGTTATTATTATTTCGCCATTGCAATATATATGAACAAAAGTGTGTATGGGTGTGTGTGTGTGAAGAATGCGTAGAAAGACAAAGCCAACCACAAGCGTCTTCATCGTTCTGTGTCTCAAAGGAGATTCAACCTTCGACAAACACGCCTTCCCTTGTGGTTGAAATAATAAATTTATGGAAAAGTGTTTATTTATCGGACTTTTTTATCAGCGACTGGTGAAATTGTCAGCAGAATATAATTAGTTCGGAGAAAAAGCTAATAAATTTGTAATAAATATTTTTTTTTATTTTTATTTGTCTCTTATACGTGGTGACTCATGCGGAAACTCACTAACAAAGGCAACTCTCTTGAAGCAATCGGAATGAAAATCCTGGTTTTCAGAAAAGTATTGCGAAAAAAAGCCGTTAGGAGTTCTTGAAAGTATATTCGTTTACTCTTAGAGAGAGAGAGAGAGAGAGAGAGGGAGAGAGAGAGAATGGGTTACACTACGTAAAGTAGAGAAGATATATTATTTATATGTTGAGAAATTCAGGTCAGGTACTGGATTAACGAATGTTTGAATTAAAGAAAATTATTTTAATAATAAAATTAAAAATTTTTTCAAAATACGGTGGTCAAGCTCAAGACTCTCCAAGAGTATTTATGACATGAAATAAGAGCTCCTAATAAGAATACATCAGCCGTTCGTAGGTGGTTTGGAATGAACTTCAGGGCTCTCCATTTATTGTTTTGTAAATAAATTTCTCATAAAAACCTTCTTCTAGGATCAGCTGGTTTCGCACATGTAGAGCGAGAGAGAGAAACAAAGAGAGATAAGGGGAGAGAAAGGATTCATATCTTCAAGTATTTTCAAGTATTCATAGTACTACATTGAAGAAGGGATACTATGAAAGACTGAGCGATAAATGATGAAGTCCCTGTGGGATATAAAATTCTGACTTTCAAACTAACGGTAGACGGAGTTGATGCTGAAGAAAAGTATACGAAACCATCTAAACCTATGCTATTTATTTAAAATCCCTGGTAAAAACTGAATTCTTACTCCGAAACCAATTGTGTGAGAACAAACAGCCCCGAATTCAGATGTCCAAACTAACATAAAGCAGACTCAGAGGTATCCGCTTCTGAAATTCCGAATTATAATTTCCCTACGAATTTTATAGCGAGCTTCAGAAGAAATGGAATTCTGTCTGTCAGACCAATTATGAACGTAGCTACTGGAATTATCCGAATTCAGCTCCAAGGCAATGCTAATGTAGCCGCTGGGCCAATGTTGGAAGAAACCTTTAAATAAATTTAGAATCATCTACCAATAGTGGAGGGAGGCCAATGTTGACCGAACTCGAGCTCTCGATCTTACTTATCTGATTGTGCCTGAGGAATACTGCGGTTCATGGCTTATAATCAAGCTTCTTGCCAGAAATATGTGTTCATTATATAGAAATCACATTTTGTGATGATTAACATTTTTTCAAACCCGTCACATTGAAGGAAGAGGAAGAATCAGAATCATCGACTTAACCAAGCTTAACTGTCCATTAAGCTTTGCAACATGAAAAGCAGAAAATATGTGTATTCTTAATATTTAACATTGAACTGAACGCACCAGGCTAGATAAGTATTCCGCATTAAAAAGTCGATCAATAAAATTAACAACCAACTATGCGTCGCACTTAAGTTAAAGATAGAGCAGTCAGCTAAGCGCTTAAGCGTGTGATCGCGAGTGTATAATGATACTTCTTATCAAAGCATCGCAGCTTTCAACCTCACTACAGTGCGCCATGCAGCCGCCACTCGATCAATGCCACACCGAGTGCAGCAAAAGGAACAACAAAATCGTGTAGTATCCAATTACACGAATGAATTTTCGTGTTTTGCCATAAAAATACATTTTTCTTTAAATAATAAAAAAACTAGCCACACTCGATCAACACTTACCGCTGTCAATTTCATTTTCGCTGGGATCACGATTGAACACATCGCTGTAGTAATGATCGTGTTGTTCCGATTCGACACTTTGCAGCGACTCTTGGCCATCATCGGCCACATCATCGGCTTCGGCACTATTATCCGTATAATACTCAGTACTTTTCTGTATTGTTGCTTCCGACTCGTGTTCTTCTTCCTCTTCTGGTTCAGCAACTAATTGTTGACGATGAGCGCCACTGCTGCCGACACGTTGGCGTTGTCTTTGTTTTGGATCACCATAACGTTTGCGCACATTCGTTTTTTGCGCTGGCGAGCCACGGCGGAAATTATGGAAATCTGCAGCGTTGGAAAAGCCGCGTGGTCGCGGTCGTGGCGTTGTGGAAGAGGAAGGTTTCGGCAGGATTTCCGAAATGGTGGGTACCCGCTCGTTGGTGCTGCGATTTGGAAAGAGTCTTCGCTCTAAATATTTGGCGAATATTTGTTGTGTAATTTGATTTTGCCGCGCAATTTCCGCCTCGTCGAGCTGGAAATCGCCGGTGGCTGAAAGAAGGGATTACATTTTTAATTGTGAACGCATTTTATATATTATTTTAAAATGTAAACATAAAGTCTTATTTTTAAATGCTATAAATAAAAATTAAATCGATTTGTAAATAACATTTTGCTGTGTTTATGAATTAGATGATCCTCTGAAGGCTTGGCTATGATTCTTTTATGAAATCATAATCATGTTCACACGTTCTGATCCTCCAAAAAAAAAAAAAAGTTGAGGACCGAATGCCAACCTCGTGAAGACATAGGTAATGCAAAAGAGGACTTCAATCGAGCAAGCAATACGCTAGATAGGCCTTTATCTGGTTTTCATTGTGTACTACCATTTGGAAGGCCGAGATCCTACTTCTGGTCCGACCAACTTCCGACATTATAGAAAATTATTTTCTCTTACAACGGTCGCCACTGGGCAGAGAATTTCAAGCCCTCCGAGTGTATTTCTGACAAGAAACAAAGTGGCGAACTGCTTGTGAGTTGTATGTGAGGGTTTGGACATATGCCATAAAAACCCGTACGGAAAGGAATTAAGGGCAAAACTTGTATCAAAAACGTCACTTTGGTTGATATATTAGTACTCTCTTTTAACCGAGAGCCCCTAGCAGAATATTTCCAGCTATTAGGCAGATGGTGGCTATTATAGGTCTAGCTTAGATCAACGGCCATAGCACAACTTAGTTGACACACAACTGAGTGCATTCAGAAAAAGATCAGATGTTTGTTTTCTTCTCGAACTGTTGAGGTACTTAGAATGATGCATAGTAAAGTTTCGGGAGTTGAAGTTGAAATTCTACGAAGCAGGAGACTAGAGTATTTAGAGTTTATGGTGGAACCATCAATCGATGACGAAGGAATGGGTGTTGTTGACTTAACGGCTGAACTGCTCAAGCATGGCTTCGATGAACTGGCAAGGAGTACGCATTAATTCTTTAACAGAATATTGTCGGGCGAAATAATGAGTAACGATTATAAACTGAATGTGCTCTACCCACTCATAAGGCGTAGGTCCCTACATCCCATATTGATTATGGTTGGAGAGCCTCCTCTACATGGCATATGATATTCTGTCTGATGTTTGACTTAAATTATTAAACATCCACTTTAATTAACTGACTCGGTCATATAACTGTGGCTTCGGAACTGGAAAATTTATCATTGTCAAATTCTGTAAAGGACCATGAGAAAAGGATCGGTTGTCGATTTTAAAACTACCTTCCAAAACTTGTAAGTATACGCCTATACGCCTCATTTCAAACGCTACAGGAAGCTCCGTTTGAATTGAGTTAGAATTGAAAAGGATCTCTGCGGGCCGTTCACTACCAAATCATAGATTTTAAGACTTCTTTAATTTAATTTAATGGTATTGTTTTCATGGGCCTTAAGTTTTGTTTAAGTCGTATTGGATAATAGAGCGGACCGAAAGGGTATGGCACTTTATGAGGGCTGGATATAAAGCACATTTGCGTCTTGGCTCCCAAGTCACAGTTAGCAGTCAGAACTTTAAGAATGTAGACGTTATCCTCTATCTAGGAAGTAACCTTAACAACTTGACTTAGAAACCAACTCAGAATCACTTTTGCCAACAGATGCTACTTTAGACTGAGTTGGCGATTGAGAAGTAGTGTCCTCTCTCAACGAACAGAGACGATATTATTCTAAATCTGTCGTTTATTATTCCCATAATGGTGTATGATGAAGACGTGCGGGCGATGAGATGGTTTTTGGTGTCTTTGTGAGAAAAGTTTTGCGGAAGATTTACAACGGAATAATAAAAATACTCTATTTTTGAAAGTATTCGCTGCAATACCCACTGCTGGAAGCAAAGAGAGAGGAATCATTTCAAGTCGAAAAGAACTTTATATCACTAGCTGTCCCCAATTGGCGCAGAACAGCTGAAGGAAGGTTCATGGTATATGTTACGTAGCTGATTTTGAACTTATGTTCTGCTAATTGACAAATAACACCTCTAAATAATGCCAAGGCTGATTTGATGGAAAAAAATATCTATATGGTTTGTATGAAGTATTGTTCGCTTGACCCACATAACTGGCATATATTTGCATGGAGATTGCTAAAAGCAATTGCTTGCTCGTCGCCTATATTGGGAATTCCAAGCAAAAGTACACACATATGTACGTACGTATGTATGGTTGTCTCGTCATGTTTAATCAAATTTTGCACACCACAGAAATCTGAAAAAGAAGTGGAAAACCAATCAAACAAGAAAGATCATAAATCATACAAAATTAACATCAATAACCGTTTTAACAACGGTAAATTTGGATGTAAAGTATTACTATTAGCTATTTGTGGTGTAGCTTAATTACAATAAAATATACATATATATATACTCGTATATGTACAAAGAGTATAAATCAGATATACATAATTATTTGGAAAATTTATGTGCCCATAAAAGTTTTCGTAAAAAAAGGAATACTTTTTTTATATGTGCACATCTTCAATACCAAAATCTTTTTTAATTTAATTTTTTTTTTTTCAATTTAAGCTAAAAAAGCACAAAAAATCGAATCTTGAACTTTAAAAACATTAATTTCACTGAAAGTAATAAAATTCAATTTTTTACAATTATGTAATTGTTTTAATGGTCAGACATAGGCTTAAGAGCACCTCACTTGTTCCATCTTTTGCTCATGCGCGTTGTAGTCCATGTTTTATATGGTACGTTGGTACGTAAGTGTGATACCAATGTACATGGTAAACTTTCTATCCTTGACATACATTTGGACATGCTCAGCTTCCATACAACAATCCGAGATCGCCCCCAGAAATAATAACATCGGTAAATATCATACATACAAATAAATATTTTCATACCTTTACCGATAAACGTTTTTACGTATGTATGTGCATGTGTACTCTAAACAAATTAAAAAACAATCACAATTTCTTTAAGCGTTAAGAAGCCAAAATAAGATAATAAAATATTGTTGTTCATATATTTGGTCGCGCGATTGAGAAAAAATCAGCGGACGGAAGCAAACATTCGTCACGCATGCGCAAAATGACATCAGTCAGGCGACATTGAAGTGCGTTAAATGATTTATTTGTTATGTAGTTTGATGAGGTGCAAAGATATTTCAACACATTTATTCATACGTCGATACGCATCGAGAAAAATGTGATTAAAGCAGAAAGCAAATATTCATAAACTTATGCGAAACTTGAGGAAAAAATAACTTAAAAATTATATATTTCAGTTACGCCTAAAGACTTTAAACAACCTCATTTTCTTAAGAATGAGACAGCTAAATGTTTTTTTTTTTTTTTTGATAAAAAATTAGTTTTAAAATCCGCAACCGAAAAATAAATTAATTTAAAATTATATATAATTAAAAAAATAAAATAAAATAAAATAAAATAAAATAAAATAAAATAAAATAAAATAAATTACAATAAAATAAAATAAAACAAAAAGGAAAAAATAAAAAAAATTAAATAAAAAATTAACTAAATTAAAAAAAATGAAATAAAATAAAAAAAATAAAATAAGATTATATAAATTAAATTAAAATAAACTAAACTACAATAGAATAAAGTAAAATAAAATAAACACAATAAAAAATAAAATAAAATAAAATAAAATAAAATAAAGTAAAATAAAATAAAATAAAATAAAATAAAATAAAATAAAATAAAATAAAATAAAATAAAATAAAANAAATAGAATAAAATCAAATAAAGCAAAATAAAATAAAATAAAAAATAAAACAAAATAAAATAGAATAAGAAATAAAATGAAAAAAGAGGTGTTATTTAAATTAATTAAAATTAAATTAAATTGGATAATTAAAAATCAAATGCAACCAAATAAAATAGAGTAAAATAATATAAAAGTATAATACAACCAATTGATATCAAATAATCAATTTTAAGTAAAATTAATTAATATGTTACAAAATAAAATGCACGAAGATGAAAACAAATGTAAATAAATATGATAAATTAAATTAAAATATAATAAATTTAATTTAAAGAAAAATAAATAAAATGGAATAAAAAATAAATTTTAAAAATGTAGTGATATAAAATAATATAAAATATATATAAGCACACTATTTTATAAAAAAAAATGAAATAAGTTAAAGTTAATAATAAAATAAATTAATGTAATTTGAAACAAAATGAATGCAATAAAATGAAATAAGTTTAAAATAAAATAAGAAAAAACCAATAAAATCAATTATTGCGTAGAATAAATAAATATAAAATATAAAAAATATAAGAAAATAAAATGAAACAAAATATAATATACTAAAATAAAAGTAAACAATATTAAATAAAATAAAATATAAAAACATTAAATTAAATTAATAAAATACAAAATTTTTAAAGTCGCCACTAACAAACTTATAATTCCGCACACACATTTATTTTAACCAATTTTCTATAATTCCCCACAACCAATTAGAAATGTATGTATACATTGTTTATAATTACCATAATTTCGTTTATATTATGAAAATTCGTGCTCAAATGGTGATATGCGCACCCGAAAAAATGTATATTAACTAAATGAAAATTCATGAAAATGCACTTGTTAACTTATATGTATACGCATAGGTACATACATACATACATACGTACTGTGCAATTCACTTAGCTCGAGGTAGTTTTTTTATGAAAATCTTTTCTTTTAAGCATAAAATTACGGACTCAGATAGTTTTATGACTATAAAATAATACCGTTAAATGGATTAATTTGCCAAAGGTTTTTTATTTTTTCTAATTTAGTACATTTTACATTTGTTGCCAAGTTGAATACAGTAGTTTTACTCCTAATTTGTTTTCATTAAAGATACTGCCTTTAATTATCCATCAAAAAAAAAGCAAAAGCATCATCCTCGAAAATTAATGCAAGTGGCACACACACGTTCACACTAACATGCAGGCATTCACATATCTTCACACTTTCATGTGCACTCAAGTGCACATGTAATGAGGCGCATAAGTGATGGTCAAAAACTTGT